CTTTGATCTGTCCCATTGTCCATCCCCTTTGACTGTTCCCATTATCCATCCCTCTGACTGTTCCCATTATCCATCCCTTTGATCTGTCCCATTGGCCATCCCTTTGATCTCTCCCGTTGTCCATCCCTCTGACTATTCACATTGGCCATCCTATTACCTCTCCCATTGGCCATCCCTTTGGCCCTGCCCATTGGTCCTTCCATATCTACAAGACACTGCCTGATTTGCTGCCTTCTGTATAAAACGCTCCTGGAGGACAGGATGTTGCTAGTTGGACTTGGGAAGTGGGAGAATATGTCGATGTTGGTTCCCCGTGGAAAATCCAGCCTGTGGCGTGCTCCATGATCCTATCGACCGGCTTTGAAGCTGTTAAGCATGTGGTAAAGAGCAACGGCAAGCTCCCACAACCAGCAATGATTCTCGGCTGGTAACAGCAACGTGGGAGTCCAAGGCAGTGGAGTAAAACAGCAGCTTTTTGTGTTCAAAATCGGATAGTTATTGTGCTGATCCTGAATTTGCTGGACCTTTTTGAAGCCTCTTGTCTACCCTTGCCTTTCCCCTCTCCCATCCCATGTCAGTTTACACGGAGTGTGAAAGTTGACTCTAGTTTCTCCTTTAGGGAATGCCTGGACCTCCTGGGCCACCTGGACTCCCTGGTCTCCCTGGCCGGCCGGGAATCTTTGGTGTGAACGACACTGCCCCCCCTGGACCAACAGGTCCGCCCGGGCCCCCGGGAGCAGATGGGAGGCCTGGTCCCTCTGGGCCAATGGGACCTCCGGTAAGTAAAAGGGGTTTATGATTCGATAGCAGCTCATCCGGCCGGCCAGCATTCTGAATGAAGGCGCCTTTTTCCGAATCGGCGTTCCTGGCTTGCCAGCTGAAATCCCCCGGTACAACCGCGGGACAGCCTGCATTCACATGACACCCTCGATTCAGTCAAACGATCCAAGGTGCTTCCATGGGAACGTTTACCGAGCCGCATTGGGAGCTTTGATCATTTGAGGTAGGGATTTTAGGGAGCATCTTAAAAAGTGGTGAGCACTGGTGCACTGGAGAGGTTTAAAGGAGAGAATTAGAGAACATTCCGACCTCGGCAGTTGTCTGCTTTGGCCATCAGTGAGATTGGGAGGTGCTCACGTGGTGGGAATTAGTAGGAGGTTAGAGAGACAGACTGGGATTTTCAGGAGGCCATGGAGGAAGCTGAACACAATGATAAAATTAAATGGATGTTGAGGAATTACAAGCCTTTGTAGATCAGTGAACACTGGGATTTGGCATGAGTTAGGATAGGAACAGACAGAGTGTTGAGTGAGGTGGCATGTTTAGAGGGCAACAATTAAAATGCTTTGTTTTAAAATAGTCTAAATTTATTTTGTAAGGTCTTATTGAAACTGGAGAGGGTTCAGAAGAGATTTACCAGGATTTGCTGGGAATGGAGTTGTAAGGAGAGGTTGGATAGACTGGGACTTTTTTCACTGGACCGTAGGAGGTTAAGGAGTGACTTTATAGAGGTTTATAAAATCACGAGGGGTATAGATAAGGTGACTGGCAGTTGTCTTTTCCCTAGGAGACGAGATTTCAAGACTAAGGGGCGTATTTTTAAGGTGAGAGGAGAAACTGTGCCTTGTGTGTGGAATGAACTTTCAGAGGAAGCGGGGGATGCAGGTATAGCTCCAGTGTTTAAAGGACATTTGGATAAGTACATGAATAAGAAATGTTTGGAGGGATATGGGCCAAGCGCAGGCAGGTGGGTTTGGTTTAGTTTGGGATTGTGATTGGCACAGACTGGTTGGACCGAAGGGTCTGTTTCCGTGCTGTATGACTCTATGAGATCCATTGGGATTGTACAGCAACAAAAAGCAACCCCACTGAATCCTTAACACGTTCGATTAAGAAAAAAGTTCGGGAACACACCTTCGTTCCGAACACTGTCTTGGAATTCTGTATTCTGATCTGTCCTTTGCAAGTGAAGGATTTACCTTTATTTGTTTTGATGTAAACTACACTTTTTTTAAAGGAAAAAACTCGCCACCTTGTCTGATTTGGCTATTAATCTCCTTCCTTCCGACCCTGCGAACTTAAATAAAATAGTCCTTTCTCTTGACATAGATTGACCGTTCTCTAATGTCTGACTGGATTGTTGCAGTGATTTATTTTTCCTTTTCTCCTCTTCTTCTTTTAGGGGCTACCTGGACAAGATGGCCAACCGGGACTGCCTGGGGAGAAGGGACTGCAGGTACTTCATCTCTGATTGGACAGTGACTGGCATGTAACGCTGTAAAGATTTGCCCTTGTTCTGTCTACTCATGAAACGTACCTTGTGCTTTCAGGGCGAACCTGGTGACCTGGGACTCCCGGGAGCTCAGGGGCCTAAGGTAAGGCCGACATGACACATCCTGACCACAGTGCCATGACTGTCCACCCCAGCCGTCCGTTCGACAATCAATGGCTTGTGGCTGTGGATTTGCCAGTAGAGAGCTTAGATTCTCTGCTCCTTCAGGTTAACGTTCAGCACAAAAACAGGCGATTAGCTCATCACCCCTCATAGTGGTTTACAGCATGGAGTACAGGCTCTTCGACCCAACTGGTCCACATCACCTCCCACCTCATTGTAACTCATCTCATTTCTATCTCTCTGCTACCTTCCCCTTAAATGCATCTACCTTATTCACCTTGACCCCTCCCTGTGGCAGGGAGTGCCACGTTCTCACTCGGCTGTGAGTTGACAACTTTTCTCCTGAATTCCCCATTGCATTTAATAGTGACCAGCTTATATCTGTGGCCCCTCTTTTGTAGGGCTTCTGCAGCTGCTCTCTCAAACACCTCCGTCATTTCAATGATGAACGGTCAATCCTAACCTGCTCTTTTCAGGAGGGCAGTGCCTCTGTCGGTTCAGGCGTTCCCAACTTGCATTTACGTAGCGCCTTTACCCACGTCAGGATGTCCCAAAGCCGATGGAAGTACTTTCAAAGTGTTCTCAATATTAAAAGGGGAGAAAGTACAGGTACCATGTTGGTCACTGTAAGCTCCCATAAGCGACAATTAAACAAACGAACAGAAGCTCTGGTTTTAGCCATTTTTGTGGGTGAGGACACAGAGGAGAATTCCCCGGCTCCTCTTCAAATGGTGAAGAGCAATCTTTTACATTCCTGAGAGGGCAGTCAGGCCCTTGGTTTAATATCTCCACTGAAAGACAGCACAGTGCTGAGCCCCCTTGTCACTGCATTGAGAGACTCAGTCCTGATTTCGGGCCCAAGTCTCTCGTGTCGGCTTTGAACCTACAACCCTCTGACTCCAAGGCAAAAGTGTTGCCGTTGAGCCACACGAAGAAGTGAAGCGCTAAAAGCCAGCTACGTAGTGATCAGTCAGCTAAGAAGATAGTGCAGGATAAAGATGGAACGGTCACTGGATTTCAATCATTGTTACAAATCCCACCTCCCCCACCTCCTGGTTCTGGGAAATGGTGTCTCACTGACATTCCGAGTCTGGTTCCTGAATAATCCGTAGTTGTTTGCGTGGTCCTGTTTCTCCTCGGTGCTTATTTCTCTTTCTTCCATTCAGCGCTCATTCTGTCCTCTTCCTCCTTAGTTGCTGCAGCTTCTCATCACTGCCTCGACATTTGGATGTTTGTATGTACTAGACTGGCTGTGTTGCATGTGCACTTGACCCAGCATCCTGGCTGTGTTGCTCTGGTTGACTGCTCAGTAGTTCCTCACTCAGATGAGGGAAGTCAGCATGTGCCTGCTCATTTACCCACATGTATATTGTATCGTGTTTTCACAATAAAAAAGAAACAATATTTTTTTTACTCCCAAAGATGAGGAAGAGTCCACAACGTGCAGATGGAATAATAGTTCTCATCAGGGAGAAGAGGCTTTGTCTCCATGAAATCTCCCCTTAGCCTCCTTTGCTACACGGAGTACAATCCCAGTCTCTCCACGTTTCTGACATTTCTCCTCCTTGGTACCAATCCTTGGTAAATCTCCTCTGCACCCTCTCTGAAGCCTTAACAGCATCCTTTGTTTGTTATGCCCAGACTCCAGCAGAGGCCTACTCAGTGCCCTGCAAAAGCTGAGCCTAACATTGTTTTCACACTCGATATCTCTGATTATAAAGACAGAGATAATACACATTTTATGAACCCTTTCATCAGCTTGCTCCTTAGAGTCATAGAGTTATACAGCACAGAAACAGACCCTTTGGTCCAGCTCTTCCATGCCAACCAGATATCCTAAACTTATCTAGTCCCATTTGCCAGCATTTGGCCCATATCTCTCTAAAGCCTCCACCACCTCCTCTGGCAGTTCATTCCATACACGCACCACCCTCTGCATGAAAATGTTTCCCCTCTCACCTTAAACCTAAATCCTCTAGTTTTGGACTCCCCTACCATGGGGGAAAAGACCCTGGCTGTTCACCCTATCCATGCCCATCATGATTTTATAAACTTCTGTAAGGTCACCCCTCAGCCTCCGACACTCCAGAGAAAATAGCTCCAGCTTATTCAGCCTCTCTGTATAGCTCAAACCCTCCAACCCCGGCAACATCCTTGTGAATCTTTTTTGCATCCTTTCAAGTTTCACAACATCCTTCCTATAGTAGGGTGACCAGAATCGAACACAATACTCCAAAAATGGCCTAACCAAGGTCCTGTACAGCTGCAACATGACCTCCCAACTCCTGTACTGAATGCACTGACCAATGAAGGCGTGCATACCAAATGGCACTTTCACCGCCCTGTCTACCTGCGACTTTGCTTTCAAGGAGCTGTGTACCTGCACCCCTAGGTCTCTTTGTCTAGCAACACTCCCCAAGGCCCTACCATTAACTATATAAGACCTGCCCTGGTTTGCCTTCTCTTCACAAATCCTCTGTTACCGAATCCGCGGTGACTACGATGTGGCTCTCCTTCATGCATGTCACTCCTGCGGGCACTGGAAAGCCACATAATAGTACCTTCCATTTATTTATTGCCTTCAACATAGTAAGGCATTCCCCGTCACTTCAAAATACCATGATTTGACGTAAGGCCATATTAAGCAAGTGTTGCTTGCTAAGGGGCGGTCGCAGGCTGAATCCTAAAGGTGAGAGATGCAAGTTCAGAATTTGATGCCCCTGTCACTGTCTTTTCAGGTTCACCCCGGTTCATTTTTGAACTTGATCTTGCATGGATGGTGAGACTTGCCAGCTAGGCCAATGTTTATTGGCCCCAGCAGAAGGTAGTGGTTAGCTGCCTTCTTAAACCGCTGCAGTCTGTGGGATGTAGGTGGTGCCTGTTAGAAAGGGAGTTCCAGCACTTTTAAAAGTATTCTTAAACACAGGGGCCAAAACTGCACAGTACTCTCGAAGTGGTCTCACCAACATCCTGCACAATTGTGACAAACCTTCCTACTTTTTAAACTCCAACCTTCTTGTAATAAGAATGGCCACACTCTTTCTGTTTGTTTATAAGTTACTTGTGACTCATTTCAAAATTATTTTCTTCCTCTTCATTAGTTTTTGTTTTAGTAATCTGACACTGGTTTGTACAACATGCCCAATCCTTTAGCCTATCACTAGTTTTCCCCACTTTGTACACCGTAGTTTTTGATTGGATAATCTCTTCGTTGAGTACAGGTAGTTTGTGCTTTTCATTAAGCCCTCCCTTTTGAACAGAATAGAGTTTTTGCTTTGCATTATGAAATATCTGCTCAAATGTATCTCTCTGCTCCTCCACTGACATCCCATTTAACCTATTATCCCCAGCTGCTATACACAGCTCTTTCTTCAGACCTCTGTAACTGTCTATATTTAAGTTGAGGGACACTGGTTTGAGACCCGAGTTGCTCTCCCTCAAACTGAGTTGAAAAATCTATGTTGTGATCGCTACTCCCTACAGGATCCTTAACTGCGAGAAAATTCATGGGATGGTAAATAGTGAGGAGGATTACAGGATGGTATGGATGGGCTGATCAGTGGCAAATGGAATTCAATTCGGACAAGTGTGAGGTGATGCAGTTGGGCAGGACAATCAAGGTGAGGGGATAACATGATGAACAGTAGGACCCTGGGAACAAGGACCAGAGGGAGCTTGGTATGTAAGTCCACCCGGTATGGTAGCCAGACAGGTAGATAACATGTTAAGAAAACATATGGGATACTTGCCTTTATTAGCTGACCTAGAGTTTAAGATTAAGGAGGTTAAGCAGGAACTGTACGGAACATTGGTTAAGCCGCAGCTACAGTTCTGGAATCCGCATTATAGGAGTGATGTGACTAGAGAGGGTGCAGAGGAGATTTACCAGGATGTTGTCTGGAATGGAGAGTTTCAGTTTCAGGGAGATTGGATAGACTGGGGTTGTTCTCCTTTGAGCAGAGGAGACTGAAGGAGAAGGCACGATTGAAATTACGAGGGGTGTAGAATAGGACAGACAGGAAGGAATGTTTTCCCCCTGGTGGTGGGATCAGAAACCAGGAGGGCATGGATTTAAGGTAAGGGACAGGATGCTGAGAGCGGATGTGCAAAAAATGATCTTCGCTTTGAAGGTGGTGGAATCTGGAACTTAACGCCTGTCAGGGTGGAAGAAGCAGAATCTCTTTTAACGTTTCAGAAGCGTTTAGATTTGCGATGCTAAGGCATACAAGGCTATGGGCCAAGTGCTGGAAAGTGGGATTAGAATAGTTAGGTGGCTGGCGCAGACTCAATGGACTGAAGTGCCTTTTTCTGCACTGTGGACCTCTCTGACTCTATGACTAATTAATCCTATCTAATTACATATTACCAGTTCTTTGACAAGGTTCCACATGGTAGACTAGTCAGTAAAGTTAGATCACATGAGATTCAGGGTGAGCTTGGCAATTGGATACAAAATTGGCTTAAAGGCAGGAGACAGAGGATGGTGGTGGAGGGTTGTTTTCTCAGACTAGAGGCCTGTGACCAGCGCTGTTCGGCAGGGATCAGTACTGGGTCCACTTTTGTTTGTCATTTATATGAATGATTTGGATGAGGATGCAGGAAGCATGGTTAGTAAGTTCGCAGATGAAACCAAAATTGGTGGCGTAGCGGACGGTGAAGAAGGCTATTTAAGATTACAAAGAGATCTTGTTCAATTGGGTCAACGGGCTGAGGAGTGGCAGATGGAGTTTAATTTGGATAAATGCGAGATATTACATTTTGGCAAGATAAACAAGGGCAAAACTTACACAATTAATGGTAGGCCCCTGCGTTGTGTTGTAGAACAGAGAGGCCTAGGGGGTTCAGGTACATAATTCTTTGAAGTTTGCATCACTAGTAGACAGGCTTGTTTAGAAGGTGTATAGCACACTTACCTTCATTACTCAGACCTTTGAGTATAGGAGTTGGGACATCATGTTGAGATTGTACAGCACGTTGTTGAGGCCTCTTCTGGAATACTGTGTGCAGTTCTGGTCATCCTGTTAGAGGAAGGATACTATTAAACTGGGGAGGGTTCAGAAAAGATTTAGCAGCATGTTGCTGGGAATTGAGAGTTTGAGATATTAAAAATAGACTGGGACTACTTTCACTGAAGCGTAAGAGGTTGAAGGGTGACCTTATTGAGGTTTATAAAATCACGAGGGGAACTGATAACGTGAATGACAAGGGTCTTTTCCCTAGAGTTCAAAACTAGGGGGCATATTGTTAAGGTGAGAGGAGAAAGATTTAAAAAAGACATGGAGCAACTTTTTCACCAGAGTGTGGTTTGTATGTGGAATGAGCTTCCAGAGGAAGTGGTGGGTGCAGGTACAATTACAGCTTTGAAAAGGCATTTGGATAAGCACATGGATAGGAAAGGTTTGGAGGGAAATGGGCCAAGCACAGGCAGGTGGGACTAGTTTAGCTTGGGAACATGGTCGGCATGGGCTGGTTGGAGCGAAAGGTCTGTTTCCGTGCTGTATGACTCTCTGACTGTATCTAAAACAGCCTGTTCCCAGGCAGGTCCTGCAACATGCTGCTATAATCCCTGATGCACTCTATAAATTTGTCTTACATGTTCTTTGATTCTGTGATGCGATTTGTCCAGTCAGTATGCGAATTAAAATGACCCACGACAATTCTAGCAACCTTCTCACAGACCTCCATTATTTCCTGTTTGGGATCCTAAGGCCAACTCTCACCCATCAGTTCTTTCCCTCGCTGTTCTTTACTTCTGCCCAAACTGATTCCACATCATGATTTATCGCACCTCTGTCACTGCTCCCCACCGCACTGATACCAGCCCTGATTAACAAACCTACCCCACCTCCTTTTCCCTTTTTGCCCATTTTCTGGGAATGCTGAATTCTCTTGAATATTGAGTTTTCCGTCTTGGTCATCCTGCAGCTATACAACATTCCCCTTCAAGCCATGTGGCTGTGTAACTGCTCCAAGGTTGAGGCATTGACTTCCAATTCCAGAAGTTGCTGCCGCGCACTGATCTCCAAAGCCCACACAGCCGGAAACACAATGAGAGGGAATGCTGTAATCACGTCCCCATGATAGCTATGCAGTCACTTCCATTTATTTCTATTTGTGCCATCAGTTCTTTCATCTTTTTACAATTGTTGCTGCGTTCAGATTAAGGGTCTCGGCTTTGAATTTTACCATTATTTGCATGATGCACTTTGTCAAAAGAATTATCCACATCTTTGACAGATGGAACTGTTTGCAGAATTTCCTTAGCAATGGCACATCTATGTGTGTGTGTGTCTCTGTCTCTCTCTCTCTCTGTTTCTGTTTGTCTGTCTCTTTCTCTCTTTCTCTCTCATTGTCTCTCTGCCTCTTCTCCCTTTCTCTCTGCCCCACCCGTCTATTTCTGTCCTCTCTTTTCTATCCCTCTCGTCCCTCCTCTCCCTCTCTTTCTGCACCCTTTCTCTCTGTCCTCCCCCCTCTGTCTCTCTCTCTCTTCTTCACCCTCTCACTCTCCCTCCTTCCCTCTCTCTGTTTCTCTTTCTCTTCCTGTCTCTTTACAGCCTCTGGTTCCCTCTTTGTCCTCCATCACTCTCTCCCTCATTTCCCCCTCCCCTGTTGCTCTCCTTCCCCCCCACCTCACGCTCTACCTATCTACAATCTGTCCGTCTCTCTGCTCCCTGCTGTTAAATGTAGAAGCATGTGGTGCTGGTTTAGGCTGGGATTGAGTGTGTTCGCCATTGCAGTGTCCTAAGTCATGGAGTGCACCGAGCATTTCGCTACAAGTTGCATGTCGGCGCTAAGGGGGCGTCAAATCCTAACTTGTCGTGCCTTTCGCCTTCCTGCCCTCCAGAATGGTGTTGTGGGATCTCGACGGCACCTTGCATTTAAAGTTGCATTGGGAAGGTGACAAGCGGATGGTGCAGCACCCTCTCAGTCCTGGATCGGGGACCACAAGTTGTGAGCCCCGCACGCTGCCTGCTGAGTGCTGTTTGAGCCGGGCCTTTGGATTAGCAAAGTGAGCCTTCCCTGAAAGGGGACTGCAGGAGGCTGGCTCTGATCAGACGATCTGCCCTCCCCTTGACTCATGTTGTCTCTTTCCTCGCTTTCCGTTTGCAGGGATCACCGGGGCAAGCCGGGATTCCTGGTCAGCCTGGCCTAGCCGGGTTGCCAGGGCCAATAGGACCCCGAGGACCTCCTGGTCCTCCTGGACCATCGGCAACAGTTCTCCGCGCTGGCTTTGTAAGTCCTTGTAGCCTACGTTTTGATATAACCTCGCCTACTCTCAACCTCTGGACCACTTCCGACCACCCCCCAACTCACCCCTGCACCCCTCGCACAGGGAAAGCTCCTTTATCAACGTGCAGGGTCACTGGAAATCGGTTGCGGGTGAAAGCCAAGTTTTGAGACTTAATTCTCAGCTTTGAGTGTGGTTGGTGAGTTGGAATTTATCACCAGCCCTTACAAGAATGGTTGCAGGGGGAATGGGGAATCTTTAGTTCCGTGGGACTTGTAAGAAGTTTCAACATAGTGAGCGGTCCCGAAAGGGTAGAGAGGGAGAATCTGTTTTTATTCATTGATTCCCTACAGTGTGGAAGCAGGCCTGTCGGCCCATCGAGTCCACACCGCCCCTCTGAAGAGCATCCCACCCAGACCCACCCTATCCCTGTAACCCTGCATTTCACAAGGCCAATCCACCTGGTCTGCACGTCCCTGGAACATTTAGCATGGCCAATCCACCCTAGCCTGCACATGTTTGCACTGTGGGAGGAAACTGGAGCACCCGGAGGAAACGCACGCAGACACGGGGAGAGAACGTGCAAGCTCCGCACAGACAGTCGCCCGAGGGTGGAATGGATTCCTGGTCCCTGGTGCTGCGGGGGCTGCAGTGCTAACCACCGTGCCGCCCCACCCCCCCACTGTTCCTGCTTGTGATGGGGTATAGCTTAAAAGTGATCTGCAGAAGGATGGGGAAAAGCTTGCTCACTCACCGAGCAGTCAAGGTCCTGAATGTCATTGGTGGGGACAGCTCCAGCCATGGATAAATCCATCAGACCGAAGCCCCCACATGTTTGTGCTCCCAACTCCTGTTGAAAGTACGTCACCCCCACATCCAGCAGTGACAGCGCTTCCTCTGGGCTGAGTCTGTGGGAAAGTTGGGGGGGTGCAGCCTTTCTGTTGGCTGGCCAGAGAGCTGCGTGGTAACAGCACAATATTGGGCTGCACCACAGGAAGCTGTGGTGACTTTCTCCGAAAGCCATAGACCCATCCAGGGGGTGGGGCGCTGTCGCGGAGGGTGGAGAAGGGAAACATTTGAATGCTGGAGCTCTCCGTGCTCTCACTAGCAGAGGGAGCAAAGTGTACATTAATGCCTTCGATGCCTGTTTAACGTGAGAGGCAGGGGGCTGTTTCCTCCCTTTGTCCAGCTGGCCCGCACAAATGCGCTTATCACCTGACTGAGGAAGGGAGACTTGCATTACTATAGCACCTGTCATGGCCTCACGACATCTCCGAGTGCTTCACAGCAACTGCATCCTTTTGAAGAGTGGCTTCTGGTATAATGTCAGTTTATGCACGGCTGGTAACGGGGCATGGCAGTGAGCAGATTTGTTTTTGTTCACTTTTTTTTCCTTAATGTATTTATGTGGGCGGCAGTGGTGGCTGGGCCAGTATTTTGTAGCCAGTCCCTAATTGAAGTTGGTGCAAGCTGCTTTCTTGATCAAGTCGAAGTTCCTGTGGTGACCGTACACCCACGGAGCTATGAGGAAGGGAATTCCAGGATAGTGATCCGGATCAAGTGACGCCTGGTTTTGAGGGAATTACACTGGTTTGGACACCAGGGAAACCTCCCTTCCTCCTCAGCCCAGACTGGCACTGGAAGCTGCCAGGGTGGGAGTTCGTACGCACCACCTTGAGGGGCCAAGCGTTCTACCCACTCAGCCTGGTGCTGGCAATGCCCTGGTCTGCGCCAGGTTCATGGGGGAGGCGGGGGGAGGGGGGGGAGGAGGGGGGGGGTAGGGGGGGAGGGCGCGCGGGAGGGTTTGTTCTGCCCGAGGCTGGCATGACTGTTGGACGTGGGCTTTGTGCCAGAATCTCACGCCGTGTCGAAATTCCCGTTTGACAGGAGGACGCAGAAGGATCCGCACTTCCCATCGTGACGGGGTTGCCAGGGGAACGGGGGCCGGAAGGCGCTCAGGTAAAGCTGAACGGCGACGACTCACGCCACCTCGCCCCGATTCACTTACTCGGCATCGCCATTCTCGTTCCTGCTGACCCCAGCCCCGCTCCAAAACGCAACTAACACTGCGACTCCCGGCTCTCCTGGTCGTCCGATCATCCGAGAGCCCTCCTGGCAGAGCAGGTCCGACGGGCAGTTCTCCGGTACCTGGGATCCCTCTGAAGAAAATCTCCCAACCCCAGTGAGAATTGGGGAGGGGGTGGGGTGGGGGTTGTGACTGACCCAGAGATTTCTGACTGATTTTAAGGTTTAAGGAGGGCACAAAGCTGCTGGAATTCCTGACCCAAACAAGAACCGGCTAATTCTTGAACAACCCTCGCGACCCCTCACGTCGGCTCGGAAATTGGTTACCCCAAACCCCACGCACCAGTCCCGACTAGGCCCCCCGCCCCCCAACCCAACCCACCCTGCCCCTCTACCCCTCCTCCCCCCCACCACCTCCCCTTGCTACCCTTCCCACCTCCGCTACACACACTCATTCACTGAGAGTCATGAACGTTTGTTTAAATGTACCACCTCCGTGCCAGTGTGCGCGCAAGCGAAGCTGTCGGAAGATACCAGCTACTGCTGGGAACGGGGATTATGGCATTCCCTTCCACCACGTGGTTGCAGCTCCAATTAACAGGACACCGCTCTGATCAGCTGCCTCCGGCATCAACTGTTCATCTGTGAAGAGTTTGGGGAGGGAGCAGGTGAATGCGGGTTACAGAAGTAAAGTGTTGGACCTGCAATCCAACAGAGGATTAGGGCCAATCATTCAGCACCATCCCCAACCCCCCGCTCCCCACCCCCCCCACCCCCGCACTTCACTCTGCATGTGTCGGCTTTAACCCATTCTGTCCTGTTATTCCTGTGCAATGTGCCACCTCACCCTTCCTCAATGCAAATAGCGATCAGCCTATCATTACACCCCCCTCCCATCCAACTCTGTGAGAGTCCAGGCAGCAAGGCCTAGAGGCATTGCGACGCAGGAAAGCCTGTCTGGAGTAATCCACCCTGTCCCACTCTATGACTCTATCCAGCCTGAACTAAATTCCTTTCAAAGTTATTCATCGTCTCTGTTTCCAACAGAGGCAGCGGAGATAGAGATTTCCAGGTCGCTGCCGCTTTTCAAGTTATTCATTCATGGGATGTGCCAGGCCAGGATTTACTGCTTGTCCCTAATTGTCCCAAGACTGGTTGAGAGTCATCCACATTGCTGTGGGTCTGGAGTCACATGTAGACCAGACTGGGTAAGGGCGGTGGATTTCCTTCCCTTAAAGGACATGGGTGAACCAGATGGGCTTTTACAATGATCAGCAGTGGTTCCTCAGTTACCATTAGGCCAGCTCTTTTTAATTCCAGACTTTATTCAAATCGCATCATCTGCCATGGTTGAGATTTCTAGTCAATCTCCTCTGCCCCCTCTCAGGAAATGTCCGCTCCTTCGTAGAGTGCGGTGTGTAAAGATGGATGCAGTTCTCTGATTGTGGTCTAACCAGAGGTTTATAAACATTCAGCCTAATGTCCCTGTTTTGATGCTCAGTCCCTTCTGTTTACGTAGCAGAAAATCCCAGGCACTTTGCTCTATCAATTTACCCTGCCACTGTCAAAGATCTATGCAGGTAAGTGTTACAAACGTACAAAAACTTTGTGTCCAAAGAGCTCAGGCCTGCCCCTGTGTACCTCGATGGCTGAAGCTAAATTGTGACTGAACATTTTCCAGCCCACTTCACCTTAGCCAGAACAAAAACAGAAGTTGCTGGAAAAGCTGAGCAGGTCTGGCAGCGTCTGTGAAGAAAAAAAATAATCAGGGAGTTAACGTTTCGGGTCTGGTGACCCTTCCTCAGAACTTCAGCTGGTTAGTCTGCTCGGAGACAGGGTCAATGTCTGGCAAGCAAAAGGCCAATAAGAGACAAAACATTCTAAAAATTCCTGTCCCGTCCTGTCAGAGGATCAGAACCAGTGCAGGAGATCAAATGATGGGAAGGTAGAGGCAGTTGGGACAACAGCCGGATCAGCCAGGATTTTGTTGTAACGGCAGAACAGGCTTGCAGAACGGAAAGGCCTACTGCTCCTGAAAGGCCTACTGTTCCTAAATCCTAAGGTTCCTTGAAAGATACTTGAGCACATGTGTCCAATGCAATCTCTGCCCTAAGGAGGAACCAAGCCTGCTCCCTCTGGAATTCACACAGCGGGAAGGGCACATTGCATGTCAGAGACTCGCCTTTGGTGTATGTATGTCTTGTCTTTAAAGACGTGTCTGTAATTCCAGTGCAAGGAGAGGGAAGTGTGTTTTATGTAGCGCCTCTGAGAATCGAAAGGATGCTCCCGCAGTTCTTTGCAGCCGACGTAGTACTTTTTAGCTGCTGTGGTGATGCGGAAAACTCAATCTGTTGCACGGCAAGACCCTCGTAGATGCCACGAGGTATTGGAGCAGAAGATCTGTTTTTGTGACGATGGTTGTGGGAGAGACCTTTTGGCCAGAAACACTTGGACATCTCTCTTGTTATTTTTTCCAAAGAGTGCTGTGGGCTCGTTTTTTTTTTATCTGTCTGAGAGTGCAGGCAGGGTCTTGGTTTTACCTCCCCCCCCCACCTCTTAAAACGAATGGTGTCGGGCTCCTCTGGGGCTTTACTCGAATGTCACCCGAGATTTTGTGGTCAGACCACTGGCGTGGGCTTCAAACCCACAACCTGCTGACTCAGAGGTGAGAGCACTACCCACTGAGCCACTGCTGACACAGACTTGTGGTTTGTTACTTTCTATTTTTGCTTGTGGACATTAGAAAGCTCGTTTCCAGGGTTTAACTCTGAGCTCACTAATCTCCACATCCTGAACAGTCCGCATCACTTTGAAGATCTGGATGTCTCCTCAGCAGGCTCGCTCTCTCTCTCTGACGTGTACGATTTAATCTGTATCCAATCTGTGGCATCAGCCAGTTCAATGTTTCCACCAGCCTCAGTTTCCTCTAGGCTGCCACTCGAGTCGCAGGGCCTTCGGTTGGAAACTTGTTCTCAAACCTTTCCAGGATAATGTCCCTACAGCCTCCTCTCCAGCCCTCTGAAACCTCTGCCCTCCTCTCACTTCCATTTCATCCACCACTGACCAGTCACACTTTGAATTAAAGGAGGAAATTAGTGATTTTGTTTTGGTGGAGGGCGGGGGGTGGTGGTAGCGTGGGGTCAGGATATTTTTTTCCAGAGCTTCAGTCCAGCAATATCTGAGATGCTGGCATGAGTGGCCAAATCTTCGAAATGATTTGAGTAAATTGTAGTTATTCTGAAGCGGGGTGGGGGTTAAGGCTTGAGGAAGTTCCGTTGCACTGTGTTACCAAGGGCGGTCAGACTTAATTTTGGAATCTTCTATTAGGTCTAAACGTACAGCTTTTATTCTCTTTTTTCTCCCCTATATTTTGTGATGGGGATGTGGGGCGTCACTGGCAAGTCCAGCATTTGTTGCCCGTCCCTAATTGCCCTCGGACTGTATGGCTTGCTCGGCCATTTGTGGATCGAGCATGATGTTGTGGGCCTGGAGCGACGTGGGCCAGACTGCGTCAGGATGGCAGATTTCCTTGCCTAAGGTGGTTGGGAACGGAAGGAGAGAAGTAAAACAAGGACAAAGGCTTGTAAAAAGGTTCCAACAAGACCATTACCGACAACGACTGAAAGCTGTTGAACTGCATGTTTCGGCCTAAAGGCTGTACCGTGCCGAACGTGGAGTTTCTCCGTTCCTTCTCCCCGTTTTGGCCCAGTTGTCTCTGTGACCTTTGAACTTTGAGTTGCTTGTCACAGAATCGTACAGCATGGAAACAGACCCTTCACTCCAACCAGTCCACGCCGACCATAATCCCAAACTAAACTAGTCCCTCCTGCCTGTGCTTGGACCATATCCCTCCAAAACATTTCTTATGCATGCACCTATCCAAATGTCTCTTAAAACGTTGTAACCGTACACACATCCACCGCTTCCTCAGGAAGTTCATTCCACAGACGAACCGCTCTCCATGGGGAAAAAGTCACCCCTCATGTGCTTTTCTAAACTTTCTCCTCTCACCTTAAAAATATGCCCCCTAGTTTTGAAATCCCCTCTCCTAGGGGAAAGACACCTGCCATTCTCTCTGAACCCCTCGTGATTTTATAAACTTCTATTGTCACCCCTCAACCTCCAACGCTCCAGTGAAGAAAGTCCCAGCCTATCCAGCCTTTCCTTATAGCGCAAACCCTCCATTCCCAACAACATCCTGCATGACAATACCCAAAAGCATACCAGGAGGGCTCTTCCCTTCTTCCCAGAATACAAAGAGAATAACATAAAACCTCAGGGAAATGAACAGAGAGGATGCACTTTCTGCGGTGACTTTAAATAGATTGGTTTCCCTTTGAACATTTCAGACTCAAACCAGTCAATGCTGGATGTTGATCTCCTGCTTCCTATTAAATGTTGGAGTGATGATTATCCCAAAGCCCTTGCAAGTGTACTGTTAACTTCCGGGGGGAAAAGATCCTGAGGGATCTTAGCAAAGTGGGTTCTGAAAGGACAGTGCCCCTTGTGAGAGAGGCTAGAACGACAAGACACTGTTTGGCAAAAAGAGGTCTCTCATTTAAGACGGAGGCAAGGAAAAGTTGTTTTCTCTGAGGATTGAGAGTCCGCGGAACTCCTTTTGCTGGACAGCAGTGAAGGCAAATGGAATATTTTTCAGGTAGAAGTGGGTGGACTCTTGTTTAATAAGGGAGTTAGAGGATACTGGGGATAGGCACGAATGCAGAGTTGAGGCCACATTCAGATCTGCTAACGGATGATCTTATTGAATGGCAGAGGGCCAAATGACCTACTCTTGTTCCTACTTCCCCTGTTTGTATCAGCGAGATACAACGGGACAGAAACAGTTCAGGCTGTTGTTTGAAGATTGAGGAATTGTTTTGTAATGGGACATTTCATTTTCTTCCTTTCGACAGGGGATCCCAGGGGAGCCTGGTCTTCCTGGAGTGCCTGGTTTGAAGGTGAGGACCGTGCAGTCGGGTTTCCCGATGAAGGCTTTTGCGAACAGTCCCTTTCTATCTTTGGCTTATTGAGGGCGGGTGGGGGTGAATGGACGAAAACGGAGTTGGAAACCTTGACTTAGTGAACTGGGTCGGTAGTCACAGTTCTTGGGAGAAGAAACTGGTTGGGAAAGAACTTGCAATTATCAGAGCCTCAGAGGGTGCCCCAAAGCATTTGGTAGACAATGAAGTATTTTCGCCTTGAGCCACTGTTGTAATGTCAGTGGTTTAGCAGCCGGAGATAGCCCCATGGGGTCTCACAGACGGCAACTAGATGGCCGTTTAACAACAGCTGAGAGATTAGCTTGGGCCACCAGGAGAGCTCCTCTGCTTTGAAGCATTCCCATCATGAAAATGGTGATACCATTGGCCCGTTGAAGGGGTGGCATGATGGGAGTGGGATAGCATAGGCACACGGGTCAAAGGCAGGGGAAACAATTATGAGTGGAGTTAAGTACAAAGGCTGCAGAGAGGAGATGGGCCAAATGGCTTGTAACTTCCATGCAATGCATTGGAAAGGGAGATGATGAAGCTTCATCAACGTGTTGACGAAGCTCTTGCCTTGCACTCATCAGGACGAATGCAAGAATGCCAAATTTCAAGCACTCGCAACAGCCTACACAGCAGCAGGAAACGGTAGCATTTCACTGGACTGTTGCTGTCAGGTGTAGACAGAATATTACTCGGCCTGCCTCTCTCCCGGGCATCTAGCTTTTAATGTTTGAGACCAAACAAAACTGGAGCGGCCAACGTCCAACTGCAACTCCCCTTGCCGGCCGATCCATCTTTATTTTCGAACGAGGCTCTTGTGCCATCAAACTAACTGGTAAAACATGTCTCGCCGCATCGAATTTAATGCGTGCGAGCCTGGTAAGTATTCATCCAGTTCTGAGAAGGGATGTTACACATCACAGACGCCCAGCAATTTTCAGAGGCTTGGCCTCCAAACTCAAAACCTTTTAATAGTTACCAACTGCCTGTACAAGTAGTTAATACATAACTGATGAGAGCAGCCACACATTACCTCAGCTTTGAACAGAGTAGAACTTCTCCCTATGGCGGAGGGGGTGGGGGCATGGATTTAAGGTAAGGGGCAGAAGGTTTAGGGGGAGAGGCGAAGAGAAACGTTTTCACCCGCGGGGATGATGGGGCATCCGGAACTTACTGTCTGTAAAGGTGGTGGGATGCAGAAACCCTTTGCAACGTTTAAGAGGTATTTAGACACAGACTTGTGATGACAAGGCTGTGAGCTCAATGCTGAAAAATGGGTTTAGAATAATTAGGTGGTTGTTTCTGGCTGGCGCAGACTTGATGGGCAGAAGGGCTTTTTCTGTGCTGTAGACCTCTATAACTCTAAAACTTACCCATGACAAACATTCACTGTTTATCGAAGTAAGTGTCCAAACCAAGGGGGCAGAATCTTAAGATTAAAGCCAGGCTATTCAAGATTGATATCAAGAAGTACTGCTTCACTGAAAAGAAGTCCGGAAATGTTCTCACCCCGGCCGCGTCACTCCTCCGCCATCCGAAATACCCTCCACAAAAGCCGTTGTTGCTGGAGGGGGCCGGGGTTGGGGGGGTGGTGGTTGTTGGAGGGGGGGTGTTGCGGGGGTGGTGGATGTGGTCACTTGAAATTTGTAAATTAGTACTGTTACACTGTTGTTAGGTAAGGTTGTTAAGGGGATGTGGAACCAAGGCAGTTGGTTGGGTCTTAGATATAGATCAGCCAACATCTCTGAAATGTGCAACTTTAAGTGAAACAACTTTAAGTAAATCATGTTTTCCTGTTAGAACCAAAGTTAAATTTCTAGTTGGGTTCTGCAGCTCCTTTCTCATCAGGAAAGAAGACGTTAAAGCTTAATACCCCGTATGCTGAAATACTTTACGAAGCCTAATTTCTGTACCTACCAATGAGGTAAAATAAAACAAACTTTAAAATATAAAAGGAATAGCTCGTTCTACTTGCTGTAGCCATCTCCCCGATTCCACATCTCACTGTATCTCCTGCTTTCCACCTCTTCCAGAGGGACAGGGGACATGAGAATCAAAGGAGAGAGGGTCAGTGAGAGAGGGTTGGCCGGAGAGATGGAAAACCAGTCTGAGGCAAGGTCAGTAGCGAAAAGGGAGAGGCCTGTCGAGTCTTGCTGACAAGAGCCATGTGAACTGACCTCTGGGCCGAGGTCAAACAAAGTTGAAACGAAACAACGGGGAATTGGGTGCCCACTCACTGACATATTACAACACAGCGACTTAAAACGGGGCTCCCCTGTCATTGGTGGAGCAGGGTAAAGGGGCTGGATGGTGTCTCTAATGCCCTGTTTGTTTTCTATCCCTGTATAGGGTGAGCCAGGAATCCCTGGAGAGCCGGTGAGTGCTTCCTGGGGGTGGGGTGGGTGGTTGTTGTTGACCCAGGAAGCTGTTTGATCCCGCGTTGTCCTGTTGGTCATTTCCAAGCCCTGCCCCCCTTGGGGAAATGTAGCGTAGGGTAGACACTGTTACGGTGGCTGAAGTGGGATTGGGTCCACTGCTCCCACAATATCTTCTCTGCTCCCATCACCTCCGCGGTGACGGGGGTGGGGGGGTGGGGGGTGTGCCCAGTCAAGATGGCGGCTGCCCCTCGAGCACGTCGGCCAGTCTGCGTCTCCGTTGGGTGTCGACATTGTGAGTGGGGTGCTCCCTCAGCTGGTTCCCGCGACCAGATGAGGCTCAGCTCATTCAGGAAGCTCCCCCCCAACACACAAACCACAAACCCTCCGTGCCTCCGCCCTCTCTCTCTCTCTCTCTCTCCCACCAACCCCCCCACCCCACCACTGTGTATTAATTAACTGAGCACTATTGCAGAAACTGAAGACAGGACCCGGGATTGTTTCCGAGGCGGCGATAGGGAGGCAATGGGCCAGTGGAAAGCCGTGCTTGTGGCTGTGCTCCTGGGACCCGGCTGTTCGCAGACCCTGGGAGTGGGCTGCAGAGGCGGGGGGGTTTCTTTATGCCTGAGCAATCCTCTCCCATGCTTCTGTCTAGACGCAGGATGTCCCTGGAGAGGGACTGTGCTGTGTCTACTGCTATGCAACCTGCCATCCTTTACCCGGCCTGGTTAACATGCGACTCCCATGCCACAGGAATGTGGTTGCCTCTTAAAGTGCCCCTCTGAAAACGGCTGAGCAATCTGTTTGACAAAAATGCCCACATCCTGATCAAGTTTTTCTTTGGTAAATTCCCTTATCGTTTTGTTTCCCAGGGATTGCAGGGACCACAAGGATATCCTGGAGAAATCGGGTTAACAGGACCACCTGGCCCTCAGGTGAGTAAGCGGAGTCCCAGCCGAGCAGCAAATTGAGCTTAAGATGCAGTGGCATGGGGCAGCAGAATGTCTGAATCATTGCCAGCTTTGCTAAATTTGTCCTCGGTTGGTTGAGTTCATTTGGCTTCCAGCCACTGGAGCTTCTGGTAGGCGTTGAGCAGAGGAAAAGCTGTCTAACTAACCAAACCCCACATCTCCCAGTCTTCTGTGGGAATCGGTGGCGGAATTTGCAAAGTTGACCACACCTTAGGGTGAGGAAGTCGTCCAGGTTCTCATTCGGACCTTCCGAGCCGGAGCTGCCTTGGGTGAAGGGATTTGTTGGTCTGCAGTAATCTTGAGGGGGATGTGTCCCTCCCACTTTACAGAAGCTCTGGGATTCTACCCCGTTTCATTTTCCAACAGATCCTCCTGTGGCAATAACTTATGATTGTCGCAGAGTGACATTAAGCTGGTTTTTGCACAGGGGATTATTGCATATCTCAAACAAATAGGCCGGGGCTATTTTCCCCTGGAGCGTCAGAGGCTGAGGGGTGACCGTTTACAGGTTTATAAAATCATGAGGGGTATGGATAGGCTGAATAGCCGAAGTCTTTTCCCCCAGGGAGGGGGAGTCGAAAATTAGAGGGCGTAGGTTTAAGGTGAGAGGGGAAAGATTTAAGAAGGACTTAAGGGGCCTAAGAAGGTGGTGCGTGTATGGAATAAGCTGCCACAGGAAGTGGAGGAGGCTGGTACAAATACAACATTTATAAAGCATCTGGGATGGGTATATGAATAGGAAGGGTTTAGAGGGATATGGGCCAGATGCTGGCAAATGGGACTACATTAATTTAGGATATCTGGCCGGCATGGACGAGTTGGACCGAAGGGTCTGTTTCCGTGCTGTACAGCTCTACGACTCTACAACTAGGTTGAAGGAAAAGAAAACAAAAAAAACAAGACTTCTCCCACGAGCACAGAATTTCAAAGTGTATTACAACCAGTGACATCCCTTTAAAGTGTGGGAAACAGCGGTCAATTTGCTCACAGCAAACAGTAGCCCCACAGACAGTATTGAAATGATAATCAAATCATCTGTGTTTGTCATGTTGGTTGAGGGGTAAATGTTGACCAGGAAACCACGGAGAGCCTTCCTGCTGCTCTTCAAATAGTGCTGTGGATAGAAACGTAGAAGCAGGCCATTCGGCCCCTCAAGCCTGCTGCACCAGTCAATGTGATCATGTGTGTTCTGGCTGTGGTTTTAACTTCCTTTTCCAATCTGTGCCCATAACCCTTGACTCCCTTGTCTATCAAGCATCTATCCAATTCAGTTTGGAATAAGTCTTCGATGACCCAGTCTCTATTGCTATCGGAGGAAGAGAATTCCACACATTAACGGCCTTGTAGAGAAAATATACTCTCTAATTCCATGTTAAAATGGAGATGCCCTTTTCTTAAACTATGTCCCCCATGCCACGTCTCCCTCACCAGCGGAAACATCTTCCTACTTCCACCCTATCAAATACCCTCGGGATCTTATCTTTCAATAAGATTACCTCTCATTCTTCTCAATGCCAGTTGGATACAGGCCCAAACTACTCAATCTTTCTTCACAGCATAAGCCCTTCATCCCAGAAATGAGTAGAGTTGAACCTTCTTTGAACTGCTTCGAATGTAATTGTATCCTTTTCCAAATCTGGAAGCCAAAATTGTACACTGTATTAAAGATTGGGTCTCACCAATGCCCTGTACAATTGCAGTAATACTTAATTATTTTAACCTTTACTTCTCCTTATGAAGGACAGCATCATTCTAATCGCCTACCTGATTATTCACTGAACCACCCAAACTACCTGTTATGCCTCACTGCGGTAGTGTGTTGGAAATCAGGCATTCTAGGCTACCTCCGGACTTTTATCACAGCAGTTAAAGATTTTTAAGACTATACGATAGCAGAGCAGAAGTAGGTCATTCAGCCCAATGGGTCTGCTCTGCTATTCATTGAGATCCTTACAAGGATGCAGAATTGTCCAATTTGCCTGTCTGTTAGACCCAGGTCGACTAGGCTTCTGTACTTAAGAAGGATGAAGATTTATTACAATTAAATATATTCTAGCCACAGGTAATGAACAGTTGACATATAACTGTGAGTTAAAGCTCACCCTGTATACACACGGACAGACCCAAAAAAAAAAATGGGTGTAATGGGTGGAGGGAAAGTCTGGGAGGGCAGTTCAGTGATTCCTAGTCCACAAGGTTGACTCAGATGATCCTTTTGGCTTGTCAGGATTTGCTCCTTCATCTTCCTTTGGCAGATCCTTTCATTTGCTTACAGGAGGACTGGGGTGAATGATCCACAACTTATCAAGTCCTCGACTTACTGGTTTTTAAAAACAAAACACAGTTGCTGAGGGGAGGCTACAGGTGGTTTTAACTGCAGGGAGAAAGGACAGCTCCTTCCTTTCTGGCGCTCCAATGGCTTCTGCTCAAACATTCATGCCCACAAACTGATCAGCCACCTGGGAGCCAATCACATTGTTGTTGTCAGGCAGATACCCTGTGTCATCAACAGTGGGTCGCCATTCCCCAGACCAATCAGCTATTTGCTGCTGGCCGAATCTACATTCATATACACCCCTGGCTCCAGCTCATCTGTAACTAATCACCTCCCTCACTTCAACAGTCCTTGTTTTTATTTGAAAGGAAAGCAGCTCTTTTCCCATTTCAGTTCGCACTCAAAACTACTTAAAAAAAATGAAAAAAGATACAATCTTTATTAAACCTGTTGAGTTCATGTACCAGGTCACCCAGGTACCTCTGCAGCACCCAGTTTGCAAGTTCTCTCTCCATCGAAATAATGTGCTGTTTTTCCTTTCTGCCAGCTGGACAGTTTCGCACTTCCCCATGATATAATCCTTCACTCATTACTCCGTTTAATATTAACGTGGGTCTGGAATTGCATGTAGGGCCAAAGCAGAGGGGTTTTTACAATTGCTGATGGTTTCATAGTGAACATGGCTGACACTAGCCTTCAATTCTAGATTTACCTATTTGTTGAATTTAATGTCCACCAGCTGCTATGCTGCAATTTGAAACCACATCCCAAGAGTAATAGGCTGGATTACTGATCTGGTGACATTACCATTGCACTGCCAGCTCCTCCTGATGCAAAGATTAAGTCAGGCCCGTTTAGGTCCATCTATGTGGGCAGATGAAGTCTCAGTTTAAGATCCCACCCAAAAGACAGCACTCCTTCCACACTAGCAGTGAAATCTTAGAATCCCTTCAGTGTGGAAGCAGGCCATTCAGCCCATACCAACACTTCGAAGAGTATCCCACCCTATCTCTGTAACCCTGCATTTCCCATGGCTAATCCGCCTAACCTACACATCCCTGAACGCTACAGGCTAGTTAGCACGGCCAACCCACCCTAACCTGCACATCTTTGGACTGTGGGAGGAAAGCCATGCAGGCTCGGGCAGAATGTACAAGCTCCACACAGGCTGTCATTGGAGGGTGGAATCGAACCCAGGTCCCTGGTGCTGTGAGGCAGCAGCGCTGACCACTGAGCCACCGTGCCGCCTCTGAAAGGACCTTAGATCGGGACCGGGACTTGAACCCACAATCTGCTTAACTGCAACATAAGAGTGATGCCCACTGAGCAGCGGCTGACCCCTAAAGCATTGCAGCAAGTCTTGGTGCTCCTAAGAGCTACTGTCATCACTGCCTCCTTCTGCAATTCTCCTCATGTACTGTTCATTTGTCGGGGGCGTCGCTTGCACGGAGAGCCGTTTTTTACTCGCAAACGGGCTGCAAAGTTTACTGTTCAACGTCGCGCTGGTTCAGTGCAGCGTTCAGACAGAGAAGGTGCTTCATAGTTTGCCCTGGGCCCACACCACCACAGCCTCTTTCCCCCAGCAGGAAGTTCTGCCGCATCCCTTTTCCTGGTAGTGACGGGCAGGCCCCTGGACTGGTAGTCTGGCTGCGTTTACACAGCGTGCAGGTGTGGACGAGGATCACTGAACAGACTGTGCGAGGACAAAGAGAGCCTTTTGCCCCTTCACACCAGGGCAGACCTTGCTGTCTTCATATTACGACATCTTGGCAGTGCCTAGGCCTTAGCCATCCTTCCTTTGACAACCTGTTCCAGCTGTCGCTGTAATGTCTTCCAGCTGTTGAAACACAAATGATGTAAAAGCTGTGGAAGAAGATGTTGTGTTTCAAGAAAAGAAAACACACAATATTTCCTTTAAGGGTTCCGATGTGAGGACGCTGACCTCACTGCATTTCTGAGAAATGAGTGCTTGTGGTTTCCTCCGTTTTGTTTTTCCTGTGTGTATGGAAGTGCAGCTACAATCCCAGATTCCAAGCAGGATGTGCTGAAACCGAATGAATCAGGAGGTTTATTGTCAGATTTATAACTTGCTGAGGACCCAGTGATCAGTGTGGCAGGTGATTAACCTGTGCATTCCTCAGTTGCTCGAGTTTGTATGAAACCACCGAGTCCACGAGAAACCACATCCTCCCATAAATCCTATGTTTTGCACATGGACTTGGACAGCACAGATGGAGGCCATTTGACCCATTGTCCCCGTGCCAGCTCTTTGGTCCACCTCCCCTGTTACTTTCCAAGAGGCGTCTAAATTCTTTCCTTGTCGAGTAAATAATCTAATGAATCCTCTTTGAGTCACAACTGCATCTTCTCCCATTCTGCAAACGGCATTCCCACCATCCCCTCCCCAGGCTTTGCGCTTATCGTCTTTATGCTGCTAACTGCTTTCCTCCTTGCTTATCCCTTCAAAGTCCCTCGTTATCCCCAATGCCTCGATTCAAATCTCATTTTAACCCTCTCCGCTCTCAGGAGAGTAACCCCAGCTTCTCCAAGCTTTCCATATCCATCAAAGTCTCTCACTCCCGTGGCAGTTGTTTTGTAACCATCTCCAAAGCCTTGCCGTGCTTTCTAGACCATGCTGCCTTGTGTGTTCACCCACAGCACCAAATAGAGCACCAGTACTCCCGGCACAGTTGAGGGATAGCCAAACATCTCACATGAGGAGATCTCTCTACTGCACTGGGTCCTGACTGGTCTGGGTGATCTTGTGACCTCCTCGATGAAAAGCATCTGCTTTTTTTTCCAAACTTGGAGCTTGGGCCTCCAGAGAATAAGCAAAGTGTTTGGTGACCCAGGAAGCTGGGATAGAAAAATGATCAGTGGGCGATGTTTGTATTGACTCTTTCCTGGGATGTGGATGTTGCCCGCTTGCAATAAGGCAATGATTCTGAAGGGGTTAATGTTGATGTTACATTGGCTGCACCCAGCCTACCTAATGTCACACCGCCTGTGGGCTGGAGGCATGGAGTTCTACTCCAGATTTCAGAGGGACTAGATGTATCTGCAGTGGCTGTCTAAGACCCTGAGGGTGGCACGGTGGCTCAGTAGTTAGCACTGCTGCCTCAGGGACCCAGGTTCGATTCCAGCCTCAGGTGACTGTGTGGAGTTTGCACCTTCTCCCTGTGTCTGTGTTGGTCCACTCTAGGTGTTCCAGTTTCCTCTCTCAGTTCAAAGATGTGCAGGTTACGTGGATTAGCCATGTAAAATATTGCCCCATGGTGTGCAGGCTAGGTGGGTTAGCCGTGGTAAGAACCACATAAAGGGTTATGGGGATGGGTTGGAGCTGGGTGGGATGTTCTTCAGAGGGTCAGTGCAGACTCAGTGGGCCAAATGGTCTCTCTCTGCACTGTAGAGACTCTAAGATACCTGACCAAATATAGTCATGCTGTTTTGAATCTGCTTGGTATCCAAAACAGTGCCGTTGTGTAGGTACTTTATGATGGTGTATCCTCCAACATTAATCACTGGTTACAGCCGTGGACAGAGGAACGTTAGCAGCAGCAAACTAAATAATCCTTACCCAGTACTGCAAATCCAACAAGGTACCAGGAATGGTCATTTGGGAAGCCTAGCATCACCGATCCTCAGTAATGTGATAGGGTATGTTAGGCCATTTCAAAGGGCAGGTAAGAGTCAACCCCTTTGCTGTGGGTCTGGAGTCACGTATAGACCAGACCAGGTAAGGATGGCAGATTTCCTTCCCTGAGGGACACCAGTGAGCCAGATGATAGTTGTCATGGTCATTCAGCTTTATAATCAACTTGTTTACATCCAGATTACCAGCCCAGTGATATTGCACCACCAACTCTCCAAAAGTACATGGAGTTATTCTGGTTAAGGCTGGAGAAGGGGTTGTTTTCTCCTGTGATGATTGGATACTAGATCTTACCAGCACTGTTTTTACCGTGTTGTGAGACAGCATTGGAAAATTGCATGGATCAAGTGGAGACCAAGCTGATGGGAAGCTATGTCAGATGCAGTCTGTTGATTAGGATTTAAAGCCCTGGTAATGTTCAGTGGCCGTTTAGCAACGCTAGATTGTTGGACCTGAGTTAGTCCAAGATAGAGTTCTGATTCAATGAGACTCCCTCTTGAAAGTTTTGTTAAATGACCTGACAGAACTGAGTACCAGTCAACGGCACAGATTCAGCCATGTTCAATGAAAAGGAAGAAAGGCTTGCATTTCTATAGCGCCTTTCAGGACCTGCAGACACTGGAAAGTGCTTCATAGCCAAGGAAGTACATGTGAAATGCAGTCACTGTTGGGAAAAGTGGCAGGCAATTTGTACTCGACAAACAGCAATCTACAGCGGCCAACTTTATCTCTTCTACAGATGTTGGTTAAGAGATAAGCATTGAATAAGACATAGGGGAAAACTCCTGTGCTCTTCTTCATAATAGTGCCATGGTCTCTTTCACCTCCCCCAAGAGTTAAACATCTCATTTCAAAAGACAATACCTCTGAGAGTTCACCCAAACAGTACAGCGCTGAATGGTGAATATCAGTCAGGATGGCGTGTTCAGTACTCTGGAGCCAGGTTGAACCTGTAACCATTCTGCTGTGGATATGGACATCTCTGCACGGATCGATGACAGCTCCACAGCCAATGTTTTAGATTTCATACCTGTGGGTGTGATTTTTAATCTGTTGTAACTCACGTGCTTTCTATCTTAGGGTCCAAAGGGAGCCCAGGGAGATCCAGGCATGAAGGTAAGAATGCTAGAATATTCTTTCCAGCTCAAGCATGGGATGGAGGCGATTGAATGAGACTGGCTAGCGCTGTGTTGAAGGATTTAAATGATTAAAGAAAGATTTGAATTTATGTAGCGCCTTCCGTAACCCCAAAAAGGACTTTTCCACAGTGTTTTACAGCCAGTGGCGTAGCTTTGAAGTGTTAAAATGGACAAGGTGTGGCAGCTAGTTTGCACATAGCAAGATCCCACAGCTGTGTGATAACCAGACAACTTGTTTCTGTGATGTTGACTGAGGGATAAATGTTGGCCAGGACAGTGTGGGAGCTCCTCTGCTGTTCTTCAAGATGGTCAACTTGATAGGGTAGACACATTTTGTCTGGGAGGCCGCACTTCTGGCAGTGTGGCACTCCCTCAGAGCTGCGCTGGAGTGCCAGCTGGGTTTCGTGCCGATGTCTCTGGAGTGGGATCCGAACCCACAACCTCCTGATTCATGCCCGGGAGTGCTACCAACTGAGTCACGTCTGAGAAACGTGCTCTGAGACTGTACTGCAACGTCAAGTGAAAAAGAGATGTGGTTTCAGTCACAAAGCAGAGCAAATCTTCCTGCAGTATCCCTCCCCTGTCATTAGGGGAAGCTCTCTTGCAATTTGGAGTGAACACCATTCAGGAGCTGCCACACAAAACTCTGCGCACATTTTATAAAGATCTGATTTATCCTGCAGTTATTGCTTACTGTCACTTCCTTAAATTTAATTAGAAACCAGCACTGAGGTTTAACCCCATAGGTGGAAAACGCCAGCAGGTTTATTGTGCATTCACCCCCCTGAGGAGATAAATTACAACAATTGGGATATCGCAATGAGCTTGTTGATGTCAGTGTAATGTAGGTCTTTTATCAGTCTGAGCTAAGTGACACAGAGACATTAGCCTAGCTGCTTTAGTAGGAGATTCTAGCAGAGAAGAGCTGGAAAGATTAATCTATTCCCTTCTGCCAGTCTTTACCTGTTGTTTGGCTGTGTCTTCTCCCCTGCAGAACGTGCAGCCCTCCGCTCCCTCCGCTCCAATCCCAACTTCACCATAAAACCCGCGGACAAGGGAGGTGCAGTTGTAGTATGGCGCACTGACCTCTACATCGCCGAGGCCAGACGCCAACTCTCCGACACCTCCTCCTACCGCCCCCTTGATCATGACCCCACCCCTGAGCACCAAACCATCATCTCGCAAACGATCCACAACCTCATCACCTCAGGTGACCTCCCACCCACGGCCTCCAACCTCATCGTTCCCCAACCCCGCACTGCCCGCTTCTATCTCCTTCCTAAAATCCACAAACCTGAATGCCCTGGTCGACCCATTGTCTCCGCCTGCTCCTGCCCCACCGAACTGATCTCCAACTATCTAGACTCCATTTTCTCCCCCTTGGTCCAGGAACTCCCTACCTATGTCCGTGACACCACCCACGCCCTCCACCTCCTCCAGAACTTCCAATTCCCCGGTCCTCAACACCTCATCTTTACCATGGACGTCCAGTCCCTCTACACCTGCATTCCCCATGCAGATGGCCTTAAGGCCCTCCGCTTCTTCCTGTCCCGCAGGCCCGACCAGTCCCCCTCCACTGATACCCTCATCCGCTTAGCCGAACTCGTCCTCACACTCAACAACTTCTCTTTCAATTCCTCCCACTTCCTACAGACAAAGGGGGTAGCCTGCCTCTTTGTAGGTTACGTGGAACAATCCCTCTTCCGTACCTACACCGGCCCTAAACCCCACCTCTTCCTCCGTTACATTGATGACTGTATCGGTGCCGCCTCGTGCTCCCACGAGGAGCTCGAACAGTTCATACACTTCACTAACACCTTCCACCCCAACCTTAAGTTTACCTGGACCATCTCTAACACCTCTCTCCCCTTCCTGGACCTCTCTGTCTCCATATCGGGCAACCACCTAGAAACCGATATTCATTTCAAGCCCACCGACTCCCACAGCTACCTAGAATACTCCTCCTCCCACCCACCTTCCTGCAAAAATGCTATCCCCTATTCCCAATTCCTTCGCCTCCGCCGCATCTGCTCCCAGGA